CTGCTGCCACTCAAACAGGAGCGTGTCTAAAGAAAAAGGCAAGAAATAGGTTCTAGCTGGTGCCCCAGGCAAGTCTGCCAAGGTGGGCCCGGCAGCCGCAGCGCCTCTCACGGAGGTCCCTGCTCACACAGGCGACTCCCTACCAGCACTGCTGCTCCAGCTCCCCCGTGACTCTCAGGTGAGCCTCACCGGGGAGGCCGGGAGATCGCTCGGCCCTGGGATCCCCCACTCACTATAGCTCTCCCCACCCTGCCCTGCCCATGCGGGTAAACATGGCTTTGAAGACACAAACCCAAGGGTGCTGGAAGGGGCCCACCTGCCTGAGGGCAAGTTGCATAAATATTTGAAACCACCACGGGTGGCTCAGAGGATCGGGCCGTAACCCACCATAATCACCCCATTAAGCTGTCATCCTTGCTGTTGCCGGGGTCCCTCAAACAGGAGCAGACAGCAGCCTCCAGCTTCCCCGGCAGTGGCCCAGGCGCATCGGAGGCTCCCGGCGGCAGCAGCTCCGAACCTCGGCTCCCTCGCTGGGTCCTTCGTCCACAAAGGTGGCATCTTGTCACCCACACCCAGGCCGTCTCCATGTCCCTCTGGGTCCACCTCGAGACTCTCTCCTGGCCACCACCCCTCCATCTGCAAAGGTGTTGCTACCGCATGTCCCGCCTCCACCGTATCGCTCACGGCCCCTAACTTCACCTTGGGAGCACCGTCCTCCTTCCTGGCATGCGTAAGGCCTTGTGTGTAGGTGAGCAAACCTGGCTCCTGGTACTGCCAGGAGGGCACTGGCCCCTCAGCTGCCCCAGCTGCTTCTTCATCCGGCCCCAGTCCTTTATTTGCAATGGACGCCCATCACCTGTCTGGTGTCACTTTCTGCTCAGTCCCACGGAGATCTGATTCCAGAACTCTGCCCCCACCTGCAACGACTCCAGAGCTTGTCCCTGGAAACCCCCCCACCACTTCCCCTTGGCCAGTGCCGCCCGGGGGAAGACTTCTTCCCCCAGCAGCGTGGCACCTGTGACACTCCCCGTGTGTCATGCACCAGTGTGGTCCCTGGAGGTAGCATCAGCATCACCCAGGAACTCACCGGAGATGCCCCTTCCCAGGCCTTGCCCAGGCCAACAGGGTCAGGCGTTCTGGAAGAATCCCCAGCAATCCTGCAAGCCCTCCCGGCGCCCACTCCGGTGCCGGAGCCCCAGCGGCAGTGGGGACTCCAGGCTGTGGAGTGTTTCAATGCCTCCTTCTTAGCAGCAGGAACTCACCAGGAATGCCCGAGGGGTCCCTCCTCGGGAAGAGCCAGTCCTGTCTACGACGTCTCCCTTGGAATGATGTGGACCCAAGCACATGGCTGCTGTCCAGGCATTCCTGACCTGCAGGACCAGCTGTCTCTTCTGGTGCCCCAACAAGGTTTGGATAGGTCCGTCGTGGGCTGAGCCTTCAAGGGCAAAGGCTGACCAACCCCTGGCTGTGGGTATCCGAGGACGGAAGGGCGCCGTGAGACCGTGGGCCTGGGACCCGCCCCGACGCAGGCATCCAGGATGGCTGTGCCGGGCCTGGGCACGGCTGAGCAGTAGGAGGCGCTACTTGGGGCTAAGCTTCCCCCCAGGAGCAGGGATGTCAGAAACCCAGGATCCCGGCCAGGACCTGCAACAGGGAGGCGCCGCCCAGCGGCTGTGTGTTTCCACTGCATGGGATTGAGTCCCAACAGCGACACCATGTGGCAACGAGGAAGCAAGGCAGTTGACCTGATGGGACCCTATGCTCTCCCTATATGGATGATGAACTTTGCTCATTGGGGGACGTGTAAACCTCAGGTTCTAGAACAATTCAGAGGAAGCGAAGAGCCTTAAGGGGGAAAAACAAAACAAAAACAAACAAACAAACAAACAAACAAAAAAAAAAACAAAAAAATGGAGTCTCTACCATTAAGGCAGATTGCAAGCCTGGCCTTCCTCATCTGCAGAGTAGCGCTCACTCCCGGGCAGAGGTGCAGCCCTGGCAAACACTAACCAGTGCCTTCCTCCCTCTGTCTACTGCCCTGCCCCCACGCCGGGCCGTTGGCCACTGCAGGCCCTGCTGGGGTTTCTGCCTCTGCAGTTTTCAAAAATAGAAAACAGACTTTGAGGTCAGTGGCTCTTCCCACCTGCCGTGGAGCCCCGCACCCTTTGTGGAGGAGACGTCGGCTGTCTCACCAAGCCGAGGGAGAAGGCGAGGGCTCCCGAGGGTGAGACAGAGCACAGGAAGGGCCCTGGGCAGCGGGAGACCGAGAGGCCCTCCCTGGCTTCAACAGTGCCCTCAGGCCACAGCAGGAGGGGCGGGGCGCAGTGACCATAAGGGGGTGACCCTAGGCTCTCAGGTACACCAGCGATACCTGTGGCCCAAGTATGTCAGGGACATAGCACTGCTGCATGGCCTGCTGGACAGTGGCCTGGTCTAAGGGACAGCCCCGGGTGGTGCTGGGAGGGGTCGGACGGCAGCCTTGAGGCACCAGGCTTCTGGGGAGAGAGGCGCACGGTAGCTGCCATGGGCATCCCACCAGCCTGGCAGAGGAGACTCAGAGTCAGAATGGAATTTCTTTAAAGGAAATAAAATGTCATTTGTACGCATAGAGCGCTGGTGCAGGATCCGGCACCCCCACAAAATGATCGTTAACTGCTCTCATTAACTTTCTTGCTAGCACCAAGGGCGTGTTTCCCGTCTCCTCCTGGCAACCCCTGACTCCTCAACAGGACTCAGCACAAAGCCCTGGCGACACGGGCATGTGAGCACGGGGCCCACACCGCAGACCTGCACACATGCAGGGTGGGGGCGGGGGGCTGTGAACAGGAAGTGGCTTCTTTGGGGAGGCACCTCTTTAGACCAATGAGACACAGTTCTTAAGGGGAAAATAACAATTAACTGAAGCCGAGGTACCAGCCACAGAAGACCCGCGGGCTGCGGGACTGCTCGGTCCAGCGCCTCCTCAAACTCTTCAGAGGTCCCAGGGCAGCGCGGAGGTGAGGAGGGGCTGGGTGCTGGGTCTCAGCCAGCCGTGTGGGAGTCCAGAAGAGATGACTCCATCTGCTAGTTCCATGGCCATCCGGAGCCAATTCAGGAGCCTAATTAGAACCAAGTGTCCAAACCCTTGTCCTACCACCCGGATAAAGTTCACGGAAGTGGAGCAGCCGTGGCGTTTGGAGCAACAAAAGAGGTGCACCTGCTTCGGCAGAGAACAGGGGTTGAAGGCGCCTTTCAAGGCATCTTCGGGGATTATTACCGCACCAGATCATCAGACCCCTAAGGAAACCCAATGCCTGGCGCCAGCACGGTGGCGCAGCGGGTTAAGCCTCTGCTTGTAACACCAGCATCCCATATCAGAGCGCCGGTTCCAGTCCTGGCTGCTCCACTTCCGATCCAGCTCTGTGCAACCACGCGTGGGAAAGGAGCAGAGGGTGGCCCAAGTGCCTGGGTCCCTGCCGCCCACGTGGGAGGCCCAGATGGAGTTCCTGGCTCCTGACTTTAGCCCAGCCATTGCGGTCATCTGGGGAGTGAACCAGCAGATGGAAGATATCACCCCCTCCCCCCTCCCCTGGTCACGCTTCCTGTTAAATAAATAAATAAATAAATCTCTAAAAAAAAAATTCTAATGCTTGTGCCAAGAGATTCTGAGTGCTTCCTCCCCAGAAACCACAAAGTCTGAGCCCCCCAGAAAGTGAGGTAAAGAACCAGCTCCCCCAGGCGTGGAAATTCCTGCCACCAGGGGTCGCTCTCACTAACCCCAAACCCAAACACACCAGGTGGAGTCTGACGCATTTGTACCAGGCTGTGTACCAGAGCTCCCCCGCTAGCACAGAGGCCCCATCCTGCAATTTCTCACTTTGTTCCCCAGAGCTCCTGTTGCTCGAAGGCCCCCAGAAGCCAGGTGACAGCTGTTCTAGATCCAAGGCCAATTTGTGAGTTGGCCCCACGGGAAGTTAACTGCCCCAGTGTGCCTGGTCTGTGTCTGCGCGGGGGACCGCCTGCTGGGGGCTGCTGATCCTCTGCCCCCCCACCAAAGCTACAGGGAGGAGCATCCAGTAGAGAGACACGGCCTGGCTATGGGCCAGGCTGAGGGGCCACGGCCACGGGGCCACACCTGCCCTGGCCACGGTCCACTGCCACGCTGTGGCCTTGCTGGTTTCTGGATTTCATCCGCTGGCCCCCTGGAACCAAAGGTTTGTGAGGTGCTGTGGTTTGAATGATTCTAAGAGGCAGACGTTCCAGGGCTGCTAGGGCGCTGCCCTGTGCGTGGGTCCCTGATCTGGGGAGGGGCTTTGTAAGGAATGCGGCCTCTCCCTCCTGGGGCTAGGACAAAGTCTCCTGCACTCCAGTCTCAAGCTCGGGGCTGCGCACTTCCCAGGGACTTCCCAGGCTCTCGGGCCTCTGGCCTCGCCTTGAGAACGAAACCAGGGGCTTCCGCAGTTCCGACACTGAGGCTCGGGCTGGGCCACGCCGCGCCCCTGCTCTGCAGTGTGCACCTGGCTGTCACGGACTTCTCGCTCCCAAAACTGTGGGAGTCAGGTGCCCCTGCAGACCCCTCACCTGTGTCTCCCTCCTATCGGTTCTGCCTCCCTGGAGGAGCCAGACCAACACAGGTGCCTTAGGAGCTGCTCAGTTAGCTGTTGCATGACCTGGAATGTCTCAGCGCCCACATGGCTACCGGACTGGGACACCGACCTACAGATCGGACTTCCAGACAAGACCCCCGGCAGCCCCGATCTCTTCTACTGCAAGCTCAGACAGTGAAGACAGCGACCTGGAGTGGATGCCCTCAGTGTCTCTGTCTTTGGGCCGGAAAGCAGTGCCAATCATCCATCGCAAGGCAGCCTGGGAACCGCCTCTCTGATCCTGTCACCAGTGAGGACCACATCCTGCGCTTTAGGCTCAGTTCCCCAGAGTGAGCGGAGCCAAGCGGAGGCTGCAGCAGGCAGTGAGCTGGCCACGCCTCGGGCAGTGGCCTGACCCCAGGGCCGGCTCCCTACCTGCACGAGTCCTTGTGGCCAGGGCTTCTGGGCGCGTCCACCTGCTTCCTCTGTGTATCCTGACTGCTCCCGGGTGGCTGAAGAGATCCTGGGCTCTGAGCTGATGAAGTTCTCTGAGCCAGAAAGAAACATTAGAAAAGAAATCAGATTGGTGTCTCTGAGAACATGAACGCATTTAGCAACAGGCCAGGGGCGCAGTGTCCCAGGCTGGGCCTTTCTCATCCCAGGGGGTGCCCACTGGGTCCCAGGCACGGAGCAAAGCTCTGAGGTTATGTGCGGAGCAACACAAAGGTGGCCCCTGCTCTCAACCAATGGGAGGAAGCACGATTAGACGGGCACCTGCAGCTGGGCCGGAGGACGGTGGAAAGAAACCGGGGCTGAGCGCACCACCCCTATCCTGGAGAAAGCCAAGCCCTGAAGGTTTCCAATTTGCTTGTGGCGCCACCTAGAGGAAAGAACATCTCCTTCCCCGGCTCCAGATGGCCCCACATATCAGAGGCTACCCCTCCACCCCCACCCTGACAGCATGAAACAGAGGAGAACTGGTGAGCCCTCGCAAAGCTGAGGCCGGCCTACCACTTGGGGCACAGAGCACTGGCCACGCTTTCAGTCCCACCAGAAGCTCCTCTACTGTTTTTTTTGTTTTTTTTTTTTTTTTTTAAGATTTATTTTATTTATTTGAAAGACGAGTTACACGGGTTGCCGGCACCACAGCTCAATAGGCTAATCCTCTGCCTGCAGCGCCAGCACACCGGGTTCTAGTTCTGGTCGGGGCACTGGATTCTGTCCCGGTTGCCCCTCTTCCAGGCCAGCTCTCTGCTGTGGCCAGGGAGTGCAGTGGAGAATGGCCCAAGTGCTTGGGCCCTGCACCCCATGGGAGACCAGGAGAAGCACCTGGCTCCTGGCTTCAGATCACTGAGATGCGCTGGCGCAGTGTGCCGGCCGCAGAGGCCATTGGAGGGTGAACCAACGGCAAAAGGAAGACCTTTCTCTCTGTCTCTCTCTCTCTCACTGTCCACTCTGCCTGTCAAAAAAAAAAAAAAAAGAAAGACGAGTTACAGAGAGAAGCAGAGAGTGAGAGAGAGAGGTGTTCCATCTGCTGGTTCACTCCCCAGATGGCCCCAAAGGCCAGAACTGCACTGATCAGAAGCCAGGAGCCAGGAGCTTCTTCTGGGTCTCCCACTTGGGTGCAGGGGCCCAAGGACTTGGGCCATCTTCTCCTGCTTTCCCAGGCCACAGCAGAGAGCTGGATTGGAAGTGGAGCAGCTGGGACTCGAACCGGTGCCCATATGGGATGCTGGCACTGCAGGTTGGAGCTTTAACCTGCTACGCCACAGCACCGGCTCCTGAGTCGCTTTTTAAAACCAGGATGCAAACACATAAGGCTGAGTCAACACCTAAATTCTCATGAAAAGATGAGATTTTCTAAAACACTCAGATGAAAACACTCACTTAAACATAATATAAAAATCAGGAGAGGAGAAAGGCCTTCCATAAACCCCACGCTGTGTGTCCCAAAGCAGTGGGGGCTTGTAGTTTGCCTCCCCGGCCGTGGCCCTGGAACTCCACACTGCAAACAGCACACACACCTGCTCCGGGACTGGGTTTGCCTTCTTTTAAAGAGCTGTCCCACCCATAGCCTCCGTCCCTGAGGGTGGAAAATCCCGGCCACGCCCTGCCCGCAGCCAAGCACAAGACTCAGGTCAAGCGAGGCCGCCCGGGGACTCCCCCAGGAACCAGAGCGCTGCCTGCTGGCCGTGGGTCCTGGAGCTGGGGAGGCAGGAGGCACTGGTAGCTTGGTCCTGGTTGCCTTGGAAGGAGGCGGCTGAAGGCAGAGGCAGGGCAGAGAAGGAGAGGGTGCTGGGCAAGGGGCTCCCAGTCCCGCAGCGAGCGGCTGAGGCCTTGAACTCCCTATGTTATCTTAGCTGTGCAAGTTGGATCTCTGCCTTGCACAGATCACCAGGTCGGCTTTGATGGGAACCCAGTGTCCTATGGCCAAATACATAGGAGAACGGCCACGTTAGGAAGCCCCCTGTTAGAAAGTGGGAAGACAGCACATTGATTCTTAAGTGTTTCCCGCATTGTTTGACCACAGGATGCCCTTGGTTTGTGAAGACCTTGAACGCGTGTCCCATGGAGCACACTCGTGAAGACAGTGAGCACAAGCCCTGCTTTCCTCCCACCTCGCTCGCGCCTAGCAGGTGGCCCAAATCCACGGCACAGCATTCCCGAGCCTGTGGGTGCCTTTGTGGGAACGGGAAGGCACCGGTCTCCTGGGAAAGTGTGTGGCTGTGCCACTGTGTGAATGAGGAGCAGCTCAGATGTAGGCACGTGCCTTATCGGGTGCCTGGAAGAAGAGTTCATGGAAGTGGAGAGGCCCTGTCCATCTTAGGGAGGCACGTGGGGGAGGTGGCACCAGAAGGCAGCCGGGAACACCCCCAGGCTCTCGGGGACTCCCATCAGTTCCTGCTCCTTGTTGCTGGAAATCTCTCTCTTCTCAGGGCTGCTGCTCCCCCAGTACACCAAGAGAGAGACCCATGGCCCTGCCCATCACTGGGGCAACTGGAGATGCCCACGGCCTCTCTCGAAGCAGCCAATTTACCAGTCGTGACCCTGGTCCCTGGCACAGCCCAGTATTGAGTACACATCTCATTTCACCCAGGCCTTCCAACGTAAGAGTTCTCCAGAAAGTCCACGAGAAATGTGTTATGACAACAACTATACATGGATTTCAAAATGTTGTTTGCACTAAAATAAACTTACTTTTTAATTCAATTTTTTCCCATTTTATTTGAAAGGCAGAAAGAAAAAGATTCTCCATGTACCGGTTCACTCCTCAAATGCCTACAGCAGCCTGGGCTGGGCCAGGCTGAAGTCAGGAGCCTGAACTCCATCCTGGTCCCCCACATGGGTGACATCACCTGCTGTCACCCAGTTTACACATTAGCAGAGGTTGGATTACAAGTGGAGGATCCAGGACCCAAATCATGAATTTCACTTTTCCGCTAACTTTTGAAATACCGTCATATAATGCCTAATTCATTGATTGGCTGAGCCATTCAATCAGCCAAGGAACTCATCCACAGTCCACCCGACACCGGGAGTGGGAGCTACAAAAGTGCACACACTCCATCCCTCCCCCGACCACGACCATAAGACGTGAGTGCACTCCAGGAGGAGCCCAGCTGAGGCCTGGTCTGCAGAAGCGGCTCGCAGCTTCCAGAACCCTCGGGAAGGGAGGATCCTACCCTACAGCCCCTGCCAGCCTCTATGCTGGGGATGCTACAGATTCATTCCGGCATCTCCATGGGACATTGAGTGACCGTGACCTCTGCCCCTGGCAGACTCCTTGGACCCTGAGTCTATGGTTGAGTAGGCTGTGGTCCTCGATCTTCAACACCACCCTGAAGGGCGAACTAGCTTTGCCTGTTTCCCACCTGGTGCACTTCTGAGAGGTCGGCTAGCTGCATTCATCCAAAGGTGTCCAAAGGCAAACTGTAAAAGATGCCTCCACTCCCAGGGGCCCGTGCATCCCAGCGCTCACAGGAACATCACAACGAGGAAATCTCCCTTCACGTCAACTGGGAGAACAAGGGGAGACACAACGGTGGAAATAACAGCTTCTGCTTCTGGAACACTTACGGAGCCCCGGGCACTGGGCCAGCATCTTCCCATGAGCTGTCTTAGGAGAAAGGTGCTAGTTATGTGCCCAGTTTAGAGCTGAGGCTTGGAAGATTCAGGAACTCAGCCAAGGTCACACAGTGGGGAGTCTGGATGGCCCCAGTTCTATGGGATCCAAGGGTGAGGACAAGGCAGCTCTGTTGGATCCTTTGCATGGGTAAGGATGCTGGGGGCAGAGGGAGCGGGGCGAAGTGCTCACCTGCAGGGTGGGGGAGGTTTGCTGACCGCCAGCTGGCTGGACCCCCATCTCCTCACACCCTTCCTTGCACACAGCCCCTGCTCCGCACACCCAGGAAGACAGCTATCCAAACAGGACAGCAGCAAGACAGCTCAAAGTCAGGTCACCTAGGCCGGTGCCGCGGCTCACTAGGCTAATCCTCCGCCTTGCGGCGCTGGCACACCGGGTTCTAGTCCCGGTCGGGGCACTGGATTCTGCCCCAGTTGCCCCTCTTCCAGGCCAGCTCTCTGCTGTGGCCCAGGAAGGCAGTGGAAGATGGCCCAAGTGCTTGGGCCCTGCACCCCATGGGAGACCAGGAGAAGCACCTGGCTCCTGCCTTCGGATCAGCGCAGTGCGCCGGCTGCAGTGCGCCGGCAGTGGCGGCCATTGGAGGGTGAACCAACGGTAAAAGGAAGACCTTTCTCTCTGTCTCTCTCTCTCACTGTCCACTCTGCCTGTCAAAAAAAAAAAAAAAAAAAAAAAAAAAAAAAAAGTCAGGTCACCTGCAACCAGGTCAGGGCCCTTGGCTCCAAAGCAAGTTCTTTATATAAACTACCTTGGGACGTAGGATGTCCAGCTGTGCTCTGATAACTCTGGAATCACACTAGAGTGGCCTTTTTATGCCAGGGTTCTGAATTCAATTCCTTCTCGCCTAGTGCAGACCTCACTCCTGACACTGGCCACCAGGCCTCTCTTCCCATCAGCCCGTCATCCGAAGGCAAATATTCCGCAGGGTTTACCGGGTAGCTCTCCCGCCCTGGACTCCTTCATCAAGGTTTCCTGAAGGCGATTCTGGAAAGATGCTGGCTCGCTCGGCAGCTCAGACAGGTGCAACAGGAGGCAGATCTTTGCTCTAACTGCCGCAGCCGCGAGGACTCCGGGATACGTCCTCAGGAAAGGGGGTAGGATAGGGGCTCAGATCCACCTCTTCTCCCCGCCACGCCTCCTGACCTGCAGGAACCAGGCCAGGCCTCTCTACAGAAGGGAAAGTCAAGGCCGCAGAGATCCCCACGGGAACGGCACTCGGCACTTTTCAACGTACTTCGACTTCCCCCGATTCTTGTAAAATCCCCGCGAACTGAACCGGCAGGTAAAACAATGTTTCACTGTTCATATGAGAAACAGAAGCGCCTTGAAATCCAGTGCTCTCTCCACATAACAGCCCACATGGACACGGCACTCTTTCTGCTAGGACAACAGCAAACTTAACACTGT